TTCAGAGGCCATAACAGACTTTGTTGATTTACCAACAGTTGATTTAAAAAATCTAATCAATTTCAGTCCAACTCTCTCAATAACCTTGGCCAAAACAATAAACAGTTCAACATAAAGTGCCAGTTGCACCAACAACGTAATAAATAGTTCAACATAAAGTGTACCATTTAAAATAAAATAAAAAAGTGCCAGTGATTGACCTCAATCCCTCCTATTCTTCCAATATCCTGATGAAAAATAAAATCTCTCTGTTGCATAGGCCACTGTTTGATCAACGCGAATTGGGTGTGGGTCCTTGTACTCCGAGTCGGGCTAACGTCCACGCTAGCTTCCACGCTAGCTGCTATAGGTTTTGCATTGAGGTGATACTAAACAACCGTGCTCTTATTGATGCTTCCATCCGTCCGTTTTTTAAAACAAAATGTCCCATCCACGGGGCCAACCAAAGCGGTCTCATCAGCTTCTTCGTTCATGTTTGACTATTGTTCACTGTGGTTTGTTGTTGTTTGAAGTCATGAACGTTAGTTGGTGCTCCAGTATAATCGGTACCCCTGAAACTCATCCAGTGAGAAACGTTCCGCAGTGCAAAAATAAGTGCGATTAAAATGCGTTAATTTTTTTAACGTGTTCATTTTTGTTTAATTAATTAATCTTAATTAACGCGTTAAAGTCCCGGCCCCAGTTATAAAACTAAATGTTAGCTCAGATTGTGTTAACCAAAGATCTTATTTCAGGCGTCTAACTAAAAACAAATCAAAAAAGCCTTGAATTCCAGATGAGGGTACCCGAAAGTGCTAAAATGCTAACTCTCTGGGCTTGGATCTCATTCCTGCGCCACTCTATTAAGGTGTATTTATGTTTTACACTTTAGTCCATGACCGTAATGTTGCTCTAACTGAAAACCAGATGCAAGGTGTGGAAAAAAGTTGATTTGAATCTCTTTCTCTTCAGAGCGTGGTGAAGCTAATGAGAGGCATCCTTCAGTGCATAATGAGACAGGTATGTTCTCTCAAATACCCCTTCTTTGTTTTTCACCATACATACATTGTTGAGTTTTTATACCGCGTCCTCTCCTTGTGATTTCTTCTATAAACACGTTATTATTTGCTGTATTTGTAGATGGATAAAGTGGAGAAGTTTAAATACAGCAGAAGCACCTCAGACTCGCTCCATGCTAAGTACAACACCAACACCTGTGCTCCGATAGTGGGAGACGATGAGTGGGGTCACCTGCAGGTCGACGCAACCTCCCTCTTCCTGCTCTTCCTCGCTCAGATGACTGCTTCCGGTAAATATAGAAAACAGGATATTTTTGCAGGTTAAATCTTTTAAATTCAAGTTATTTTCCAGAAGTTAATCTGGGCAAAATCCAGAGTTAATTTCTGGCGTGTTATATTTAAAATGTATTCGATAGCATCTGATTTAGTTCAACTAAAAAAACAACATCAAGGATATTTGAGTTAATGTGAAGGAAACATGGTACTGAAATGTGGTGTTATGAAACTGAAGATTTTACATTCAGTTACAGTATATAAAAGGAAGTGTTATTTTTGTCTTCTATTTTAGATTTAGACACAGATTGAGATTGATCATACTAGGCGTATCAGTGTATTATGTTTCATAGCACTTCTTCATTCCAGCACAGACAAATACTTTAATGCCTGCATTAACTATTTACGTAAAATCTAATAAAACCTTTTCTGTATTTGTGTGTGCGCACCAGGTCTCCATATCGTCTACACTCAAGATGAAGTGGACGTAGTTCAGAATCTCATGTTCTACATCGAGACGGCTTACAAAGTGGCTGTAAGTGTCCTTCCATTGTCAAAGCCCTAGAAGCAAATCCACTTATGGCGCTTTCCCACTGCAGGGCCTCGCTCGGCTTAGTACGGTATAGTTAGGCCTTGGTAGGCCAGGCTCACTTTATGCTGCGTTTCCATTACAGTTTAGTAGCTGGGGCAGTAACTATAGTAACGCAGTGTAGGGGGAGCCGTGACGTCATCTTCAATGAGAACCACAAAACCAACATCAGCCGTTAGCTGTTAGCCCTCAGAGCTCACAGCTCCTCATATCTGTTCAGGAACTAGAGAAAAGTTAAACAAGTGCAAACCACAGACTGCCTGTGTCATGGAGAATACAGTCGCTGGTTTATTTATGTCTCTATAGGTTGTTGTGAGTGTGGACGGTCGGAGCATTTACAACGTTAGCTTAGCCGATCTCCATTCAGAAAACACGCATTTTAAAAAGGTTTTTCGCCTGCCGTCTGTCTGCAGACTTGTCAAAGCATTAATTCATGGTTTTTACTATCAGGTATCAGTATGTTGTTACTTCGGCATCATTTTGAAACGTGTAT